GCTGGCATGTGGTGCTGGGGGATCGAACCGTGGTCCCTGTGCTTTGCCAAGCTTGTTCCAAGTAGGTGCTTTAGACCACTGAGCCATCTCGCCAGCCCGGGGGCCTGATTTTTTAAAAATTTTAATTCTGTATATGTTCTAGATAGAAGTCCTTTGTCTGAGGGATAGTTGGCTAAAATTTTTCCCAATTCATGGGTTTTCTTTTTACTCTGTTAGTGATTTCTTTTGATGTGCAGAAACTTTTCAAAAAGATGAGATCCCAGTTGTTGATTCTTTAAAGTGTTTCCAGTGCAGTTTGGTTTTTGTTCATGAATTCTCTGCTTGCCCCTATGTCTTCAAGATTTCTACCTACTTTCTCCTTCAGTAGATTTAGTATTTGTTTTAATTTTTAGTTATTTAATCCACTTTGACTTTAATTTTGTTTATGGTGGTACACACAGGTCTAATTTTAGCCTTAGGCGTAGGGAAATCCAGTTTTCCCAACACCATTTATTAAAGAGGTTATCTTTTTTCCTATGAACATGTTTGGCCCCTTTGTCAAAGATAAGTTGGCTGAGTGTGTTGTAGTTATCTGCATCTTCTGATCTGTTCCATTGTTCCTCAGATTTGGTTTTTGTTGTTGTTGTTGTTGTTGTTTTTTGTCAGTACCATGCTGATTCTATCATAGTAGCTTTGTAGAATAGTTTCAAGGCAGTGTTTGTGATGCTTCCTGCCTATCCGTTGTTGCCCAGGGTTGCTTTTACTGTTCTAGCTCTCTTCTGGTTCCAGATGAATTTTGGCATTGTTTTGTCTAGATTTGTGAGGTATGAAAATATAGAACATTTCATGAATTTGTGTGTCGACCTTGCACAGGGCCATGCTAATCTTCTCTATATCATTTCAGTTTTAGTATATCTGGTGTTGAAGTGAGCACTAATGATTGTATTTTAAAGAACTATGTCTTTAAGGTGAAATCTCTGCTACTTGATCTTAATTTATCTTAAAAATATGTCTGCTATTGTTCTCTTTGAATTATTATTCAGTCTGTATATCATGCTATATCTAAATTTCATGTGATAGTCTAGCTCAGATATATTCTTGATTCTATTGCTTTAAAATCATTTCACTGGTTAGAGATTCATTTCCTTGTTTTCTATTTGCAGCATTTTCTGTCATAAATAGTACTGTGAATAACATTGTTTATAGGTAAATCATTGTTCCTATCTGTGGTTTTTTTAAGTCATGAAAAATTTCTGGGCTAAAGAAACTATGTTGCTGTGGTTTAATTTCTTAATGAAGAAAAGCAGGTTAACTTTTTCTTGACCAATAATCATTATTAAAATATAACTTTTTCTTCTTTATTAGTGAACACCTGTCCTGCTCTTTCACCTTTTTTTTGCATGGAGACAGCAATGTTTGTACCAGCGTGGAAATTAATCAACATCAACCTGTATACCTTCTCAGTGAAGAGCATATTACCCTTGCTCAACAGTCTAATAGTCCATTTCAAGGTAGATAATTTGATTGGCTTAGTCATTTGATCTTAACATTGTTGTTTGAAGAAGATTCTTGTTGAAGTTGATAATTTAACACTTTGAACTCTGAGATTTTCCCTCCTGGTCTTTCAATTTTGAATAAGGAATTTTTTTTTTTTTTTTTTGGTTCCTCGCATGCCTTCAGGGCACGTTTGGCCAGTGGGAGAGTTGTGAGGTTCGAACTCCAGCCACCTGAGGCTGACAGCTTTGTGGAAGCAGCCCTTTAAAGGACTGAGCTAGGCCCAGGCCCCCTCTTTCAATTTTGAAATAGTTTGTTTTCCCTAGAGTATTAAGTCAAGAAGTTACTCAATATAAGTATTATTTTAAAGGTCTTTTGTACATGATTTTAATGTATTCTGATAAATAGCATATTGAAGAAATACGTGTCATATTTTCAAAGTCATCATGTGTGTTAGATCATATAAGCCATATGTAACATATACATGGGGGGCAGGACTATAGCTCTGCAGCACGAAGTCTGCCTGGCAAGTGCAAGGTCATGAGTTTGAGTCCCAGTTTAACAACAACAACAACAACAACAAAAATTAAAAATATATATATTTTTGATAGTTTTATACCTAAAAATGGTGAACTCAAGCGTAAATGTTTTAAAATATTTCTGGATTTTTAATCAGTAGAAGTGTGTATGTTGTTTAATTTTAAACATACTTTTTGACATTTATGTGGCTATATAAGTATTTACATTTGTATATTTATATCATTTTCCCCCCAGATTACTTTCCTTAGTGGGCATGTAGAGAAACTAAGGGATATACAGGTGTCCCCAGTTGATACTGAAATTATGTGCTTTTCTAGTGTGATCATTTTTTTTGTTTCGTTTTTTTTTTGTTTTTTTTTTTGCCGGCTCAGCCCACCCAGAGAGTGGGACTGGCACAGCATGTGGTGCTAGGATCGAACTGTGGTACCCTTCACCTGCTTAAGTTTGCCTCAGTAGGCACTTTAGACCACTGAGCTATCTTGCTGACTCCCTAATTTGATCATTTTTTATTGTTTATTGGTACATTTTAGGTATACATAATGATCACATACATCATAGACAGAATTTTAGTTTTCATAATCTTAGTGTTATACTTTATCTTCACAATAGTTAAGTATAATAAGTTGGTTTTCTCTGGAATTGTCATGGGCTTTTCATTTTCAGGATTGCTTAACTGACACTTTGTTCAATGTACTGTACATTTTATTTTATTTTATTTTGGTACTGAAATTGAACTCAGGACCTAATGCTTGCCAGGCAGGTGCTTATTCTGCTGATCTATCACCCCAGCCCTAAAACAATATAATTTTTGTAACAGTCTTTACTTACTTGATTTTTCTTCTGGGTTTCTAGTTATCTTAAGCCCATTTGGACTAAATGGCACTCTCACAGGACAGGCATTCAAGATGTCTGATTCAGCAACAAAAAAATTGATTGGTGAATGGAAACAGTTTTATCCTATTTCATGTTGCTTGAAGGAAATGTCTGAAGAAAAACAAGAAGATATGGATTGGGAAGATGATTCTCTAGCTGCAGTAGAAGTTCTTGTTGGTATGGATTCTGAGTATTGATAGTTTAGGGAAAATATATAACTATATATGTTAGATTTTGTTGAATAACATACAACCCTGTTACCTCAGTGGCTTTCAACACCAAACATTTCTTACTTATTTCCTGATCATATTACATGAAGGCTGCTGCTTGACCCTAGTTTAGCTCCATATGTCTGCTCATTTTGGAGTTTAGATTATCATGGTGTTCTTATGAGAGCAGAGGAATGATAGAGACCACAAATAACCATGTAAGTGTGTTTAAAGCTTCTGCTAGGATATAGTGATTGCTGCATTTGCTTGCATGGCATTAAAAAGTAGTTAACATAGCCAAACCACTGTCATTGGGAAAAGAAAATACAGTTTGTCTAGAAAAAATTATGTTAAAGGTGGGACAAGATTAGTTGTGAATGAATTAATATTTATAGGTTGGAAAGTTAACCTGTATAGTGTTATATAGTGTTTGAATATTTAGTAAACCTCTTTTCAGGTTGGCTCTATTCTGTCTTCTCATTCAAGAACCCAGGTTAATAAGGCAACTCATTTGGAATATGCCAGTTTAATAGAAGACAGAAAATAAAGATGTTCTGCTGGTACTGCAAGCACCTTTAAAGCTTTTTTTTTTTTTTTTTTTTTTTTTTTAAATAAGTCATACAGCCTTGACTGACAGTAGGGTAGAAGACATACATACATAAACTCTGTTATACATAAGAGGCATGGTGAACATGTAGTTCAACAGATAATTGGGATTAGAATTGAGTGGTAATATTACATACGATGATTGCTTTGTCTTATTTTTATATTTTTAATGTATTTAGGGTCTACAAGGTCTGACTACGTAGATTGGACTCACAGTGATTCCACTGTTTTCAGCCTCCCAAGTGCTGGGGTTACAGGCGTGTGCCACCACACCCAGTCTCAATGGCCATCTCAGTGTGCCCCAGGAGCAGGGCTGGCCTGGCACACTGGGGATCAAACCCCAGCTACTGCACTCTGCCTAAGCAGGCTCTTTAATCTGCTGAGCTATCTGGCCAGCCCCTGTCTTTTTTAAATTAAAAGAGTGTCAGTGCTCAGTTTGAATAAACACATTACTGTCAGAACCGTTATTAACAAAAAAACAGAACACAAACATTTGTTAAGTGTTTAGTAAACCTAACTAAAATGGTCCGTAATTCTAGAACCAGATGACCTTTGTTAAATTTGTAAAATAAAACTTAAATGGCCAGCAAGATAACTCAGCTGTCTAAAGCACCTGCTTAGGCAACATCAGGCAGGTGCAGGGGACTGTGGTTTGATCCCCGGCAGCACATGCTGTGCCAGCCCCACCCTTAGGGTGGGCTGATATGGCCAAAAATAAATTAAAAAAAAAACCAAAACATAAAGTTGTACAGTATAGTTGGTCTAACGTACAAAAGATTTTTTTTTTTTTAAAGAAAAGGTTTTTAAATCTTCAAATATATTCATAGTTAGGAAGTTTTGAGGCTGGGGATATATCTCAGCAGCATAAGTGCCTGCCTGCCTGGCAAGTGCACGGTCCTGAGTTTGATATCTGGTACATCAAAATAATAATAATAAGAATTTGGGCCAGAGATATAGCTCAGTGGCTTAAGCACCTGCCTGGCAAGCACAAGGGCCTGAGTTTGAACCCCATTACCACAAAAAAAAAAAAAAAAAAGACAATCTTAAGATGAAAAAAGAAGCTACTTTTCTTACTAACACACAATAACACATACTGCTTGTTTGTTTGTTTTTGGACTGGGAATTGAACTCAGGACCTCACGTTTGCCAGGTTGGTGCTGTGCCACTGAGCTATATTTCCAATCCAAGAGCACATATTGCTAGAAGTTTTTTTTTATTTTTACAAATGTAATTGTATTATATCTCCCTTTTCGTTACAGTGCTTTTCAGAAATGAAATTCCATGATGGTCACAGTAGTAATTGATTTTTTGTCCTTTTTTCTCCCCCCTTTCAGCTGGTGTCCGAATGATCTACCCAGCGTGCTTTGTTCTAGTCCCTCAGTCAGACATTCCTACTCCTAGCTCTGTGGGCTCTTCTCACTGTTCAGCTTCTTGCTTGGGTGTCCACCAAGTGCCTGCTTCCACAAGGGATCCTGCTATGTCTTCAGTTACTCTTACGCCACCTACATCTCCTGAGGAAGTCCAAACAGGTATTACTGTTGCATCAGTTTTGATGATGAATCTAGTTTGAGTACCTAAGTACCTCAAAAATAAATTGTTGAAATACTTTAAAACTGCTGAAAAGTTGCAACTGTACTACAAAAAATTCTTTCATCTAAATTCCAAACAACATTTTTTCTGTCACCCTCTCTTGTCTGTGTACCTTCATCCTCAGTGGTCTTTCTCACTTGACAAGTTGAGACTTGATGCTCCATCACTCCTGATATGCTCATTATTATTTCCCCAAATCAAGATCGTCCCCATCCCACCACTTTTTTCATGCTAGAGACTGAACCCAGGGCCTTGTGCATGGTCAGCAGTGGTCAGTCATTGACGTTTACCCCTAATCCCTGTAATATTTATTCCATCCTCCAAGTCAAGAAATCACCTTGGACATGATGCTGTGTATTTTATGTCCCCTGTTGAAATGCTTTGCGTTCTGTATAAGCATTGTGCACTAACCAGTTGTGCCACTAGAGCTCCTTGCTTTCTAAGTAATGTGCTTTTTTCTTTTTGCCTCAAAATATAGGTTTACCAAATAGCTATGGCAAGTTCTACCATACCTTTAACAAAAAGCCCCAATAATGTTACTTTAAACCTTCCTTTATTATCCTACAACTTGTTCTCTTTTTCTTTCAGTTGACCCTCAGTCTGCTCAAAAGTGGGTCAAATT